TTTTTCTTCTTTGCCTACTTCCCCACACCCTCACAGTGCTTCCTGGATTTACCTCCGGATAATCTTTAAATATATCCAAAACTTTGTTTCAAGTTTGTTTGAGGGAAATCTAAACTAAGATAAGTTTAAAGCATTAGTAATTTCTTATCTTCTGAGTGCTTCCCCCCAATCTTTTTTCTATATCAAATTTGGTGGTTGAAATAGTGAGCTTTTATATCAAGAAAGCCTGAATTTAAATTATGGCTTCCATTCTAATTAGCTAGGTGACTTGGGCAAATGACTTAAATTCTCTGAGTTTCAGTCTTCTGTGTCTGTAAAGTGGAGCTAATTAACATCATCTAATTAAAGTTATTGTGTCTTATGTCTATTAAATTAGATAATACCCTTAGCCCTGTACTTAATGCATATAGTAACTACTTAATAAATGTTAGCTGTGGTTACTTAGTTTAATAACTTCCTATTTTGTTTTTATACTGGGGATTGAAACCAGAAGTGCTTTAGACTGAGCTTCATCCCTCTTATTTTTTATTTTTGAGACAGTGTCTCCCAGAGAGTTTCACTAAATTGCTGAGGCTGGCTCTGAACTTGCAATCTTCCTGCCTTGACCTCTGAAGTCACTGGGATTAGAAGAGTGTGCCACCATATCAAGTAAGCTTCCTGTTTTGTTCTACAAGATGTTTAAGTCTAAATTCTTCTCAAATAATTAGTTTTTAGATGGATTCACAGGAAGCACAAGTGGCTACTGAGAATGATATGGCAAAGAAGACCTGGAAGAACCTTCCACGGCAGCAATATACCTCCTACATCCCTGCCACTTACTATCTCAGTATTGAGAAAGAAAACAGAAATTCTTGACCTCTTCCCCCATCCCTAGGAATGGTATTAGCCATACCATTTCCATGATACATTTCCCAGTCACTCTAAGTGGGCTTTCCTTTCTCTCAGTGATAGTAGATAGAATTTACTAACTGTATCATATGCAAGACCTTTGTGATGGTTAATTTTATGTGTCGACTTGGCTAGGCTATAGTAACCAGATATGTGAGTGAATGTTCTAGATGTGTTTGTGCAGGGATATTTTAGATATTAGCATTTAAATCAGCAGACTTTGAGCAAAGCAAATTATGCTTCATAAGGTAAATGGGCTTTATCCAGTGAGTTGAAGGTCTTAATTGAAAGAAGTCTGACCTCCTCCTGAATGTGAAGGAATTCTGCCAACAGATTGCCTGTGGACTCCAACCAAAACCCTGGGTCTCCAGTCTACCTGCCTACTGTGCCTGTTGTGCAGACTTTGCACTTAACAATGTTAAAATCTTTCTCGATCCCTCTCATTCTCTCTCTCTCTCTCTCTCTCTCTCTCTCTCTCTCTCTCTCTCTCTCTCTCACACACACACACACACACACACATAGACATACATACACATTCTATTCTGTTTCTTTGAAAAACCTCAACTAATAAAATCTTCATAAGTTTTTTGGGGGGAGGGAGGAGGATACCAGGAATTGAACTTAAGGGCACTTGGCCACTGAGCCACATCCCCAGCCCTATTTTGTATTTTATTTAGAGACAGGATCTCACTTAGTTTCTTAGGGCCTCACTAAGTTGCTGAGGCTGGCTTTGAACTTGCAATCCTCCTGCCTCAGCCTCCCGAGCCATTGTATTATAGGCCTGTGTTACTGTTCCTAGCCATAAATTTTTATACACACTCAAAATATACTGTTTTAGGAAATGGTGCACTAGAAAAAAATCTTTGTATGGCATTTAAGAACTGTGTAACCTACCTAGATGCCCATCAGTTGATGAATGGATAAGGAAAATGTGGTATATATACACAATGGAATACTATTCAGCATTAAAAGAGAATAAAATCATGGCATTTGCAGGTAAATGGATGGAGTTGGAGAATATAATGCTAAGTGAAGTTAACCAATCCCCCCAAAACCAATTGCCAAATGTATTCTCTGATATAAGGATGCTGATTCATAATGGGGTTTTGGGGTGGGGAGCATGGGAGGATTAGAGGAACTCTAAGTAGAGCAAAGGGAAAGGAGGGGAGAGGAGAGGGCATGGGGGTAGAAAAGATGGTGGAAGGAGGTGGACATCATTACCCTAAGTACATATATGAAGACACATACACACAGACAAACACCAAAGAACTTATTAACTAATATTTGATATTATTTATTTTTAAGTTAATTTTAATATAAAATGCAAGTATTTAAGACAATGATATTACACAGCAATATGAAAATTATTTTTTCTTCAGAACTTTGAATGGAATTAAACATTTGGGGATCAGTAAAGCCGATTACATCAAAAATTCATTGCTTATGACAAAAACATGCAACCAATGGGTATTTAACAAACAAAAAAATTAATTAAAACATCGGAACCTTGGAGGTGTGGGATGATCAAGGACACTAACAGAATTTTAATGCAGGAGGGGCTCTTTTTTATGCTCTGTCCTCATCACTGTAGCTTGTCAGTGAGTAACTAAGGCCTAATGATCTCATAGCAAGCGAGGGGCATGCTTTAATACAGCTCAGACTTTAGAGCTTAATATCTGGGCAGACCACTTTGCCATGAGGCAGGTGATCTCAAGGACCTGCCAAGGCAGTGCAGGAACACTGTGGAGACTCACTGCGGTTCTCTCAGCCACAGCCAGATGCCACCAAGCTCAATACCCTCAGGCATCTACCCCAAAGTCCCCAAACCTCCTGGTCCTTTGGATTCTTGGTGTTCATCAGCCACTTAGTCAGGTTAATTTAGGCTAAAAACATACAAAACAAAATTATTGTTAGATTATTGGGTAGCCCACAGAGCTGAGGGGACAGCTCAAAAAACAGACAAGAACCAACAGGGCCACACTGCAGTGTAAATCCCACCACACGCCCTCTGCTTATGAAGCCGCTGCCTCTGGACATTCACTTCCACCCAGTAGGATCCTGTTCCTAGACACTGGCTACCATAAGGTCATCTCCCGAACCTCACATCACACAGGAACATCCTACTGGCCAAGACTGGGTCACATCTACCCTAGCTGCACCCCACCCCTGCATGCCCGAACTGCTAGGTAGGGAATAGAAGGAAAAATTAGTTAACAGTCTTCAGGTTCAATCTTGAGAGGCATGGCTGCCTTTTTGTAAAAATATCATTTTTATGGGAACTTTAACTAGTATATTTTGACAAAATCATTGTTTTTGGTAGAAATTAGAACTAGGATTAAAAGAATATGTGATTTTCATGGAGTTGATTGAACCTGTATATCATGATAGATTGCTAAATTCACCCTAGTTGTTCTAAAATCTCAATAGGTTCAGTGTCAGATCTCTATGGATTTTTTTCTTGTCATACGACCCACAATTGAAGGTTAATAATGCTACAACTGTGGATTGTGAGTATGATTAGGAACAAATTATATTTAAAAAGTAAAGTTTTAACATTTTACAAGGACATTACGAAGATACTGTGCCGTCTTGTACTCTAATTGTTATTTAAATGTTTGATGTGCATTTATTTATTCTCTCAAAGTGACTGTAAATCCTTTAGGGCATACAGATGACTGCAACTTGTATTATTTTCTTATTCCCCACAGACCTATAGTGCTCCGTGAATAGCAACTAGTTAATGAACAAATGGCTAGCTGGCTGACTAAAAAAAAAAATATATATATATATATATATGCACTATGCATTGCTTTTCCTATAGTAGGTTTATTCTACAGTCACTTTCATGCTTGTTATCACAATGAGAACACATTGGCATGAGGGGTGTGTGTGGTTTTAGGACTTCCTGAGGTTGGGGTTCCATCTTGTTCAACTACACCAAATATAACATTCTCTTATTTCAGACGGATTCGTATTTCATGAATTCCTGCTTAGTAATGAATGATAAAATACATTCACACTCTAGGAGGGTGACAAAAGCAGCCTCTGAAGATAGATGATTGAGATTTAAGTCTAAGATCCTGCAAAAATAAACCCTGTGACCTTGGACATGTTGCTTCCCTCTCTGAGGATTAGTTCTCCCATTTGACCTGGGGTTATGGTATCTATTCCTCAAAGAGTCATCCTGAAAACTAAATGACTGCACCCAACAAAGTCATGTCTCTGGCAAACACTCCAAGAATGCTAATCATTGTCAGTCCTGCTTCTAGGTGGTGCGGGTGGATGGTAGGAATGCTGCACTGCTGAGCTCATAGGCTCTGTCCCTGGTGACCCAGTTAACTTTGCTCTGAACCATTGGCCACACCTTTTTGTCCTGCAAGGTAAACAAAGCAACCACAGTGGGGTGGAGATTTGGTGAGAAACTATAAACCTGGCTTTAGTTCAGATATCTAGTTTAAGATAGAGGAATAAAGGTATTTTTATATATCACAGAGATAGAAAAGCAAATAGGGGCACGGGACACTCTTCTGTATGATTAAAATGTTACATGATTAAACATTTAAACATTTTTAAAATTTATCCTTGGTAACATAATTGAATTACTCATGCTATTTTGTGTTTCAGCCAGTGTGGGATGGGTTTTCATTTTGTCACTTAAGAGGTCTACCATGAATTCATAACATTACCAGGTTTACTTCTTAGAACTTACTGTTTTCTCACAGATGCTCAGACATATTTAGACTGACCCACTATCAGTGGTAACAAAATTCTATCATAGGCCTACATATCATACACTCTCCCCCCCACATTAGGATCAGTTAAATAATTTATGATGCATTAATGCTGTGGAACATTGCCTTGTTCACAGTGAATTGCCAGCATTCATTTCCACCCCTTTTTAAGTTAGTGTCACAAGAAGAAGCTCTCTTGCAGCTAGGGTTCTGGACTTACATTCACCAATGAGAAACATGTGCGATTTGAAAATTGGAAATAAACGGAGGCCTCCTTCCTCATAATGAGCTGCCAGCTCATTAGTGTTTGCAGCCTGGCTCAGCATTCCTAGATCTAATTATCAGCTTCCTCATAACCTAGAAGCAGTTGCCCAGATGCAGCAGACAGGGTCTGGTCACCAGCTTCAGGAAAACTGGGGTAGTTGTAGGGCTCAAGCTGTGGAAGCAGCAGCAGTTTGCTGACTCTAGATCATAGTGGTGCGCCCTTGAAATCAACATCCAGGAGCAGATTTCTATCTTCCTGTCCACCAATTTTGTAAGTACCTAATTTCCTGCTTAAATCCCTTTCTATCTGAAGTACCTAAGTGGTTTCTGTTACTTGCACCAGCTCCTGATAGATACTAATGCTATGTGGATGTCAAGAAGAATTAAAATTTATATGGGCTAGGGAACAATATTCAAGTTGATAGCATAAGAGTAAAAAATGAAAATAGAGAATGAATTGTATTTCTATGTTTTAAAAATAAAGTGTGTATAATTATACATACACATATATGTTTATTTATACAGAGAAAAATTCAAGAAGATTAAATAAGAAAATGAAATTAGTAATTGCTTCTGTTATTGTTATTTAAATGTTTGATGTGCATTTATTTATTCTCTCAAAGTGACTGTAAATCCTTTAGGGCATACAGATGACTGCAACTTGTATTATTTTCTTATTCCCCACAGACCTATAGTGCTCTGTGAATAGCAACTAGTTAATGGACAAATGGCTAATGTGGTCTGAGAGAGAGATTTACATTTCATTTATATATTCCTTAAACTGTTGGTTAATTATTTTTGCCAGGCTCATGAAATATATTTTTTTCAATTAAGTGTGTTTTGTTTTTGTTTTTTAAACCAGGAATTGAATATAGGGGCACTTTACCACTGAAACACATTCCCAGCACCTTTTACTTTTTATTTGGAGGCAGGGTCTCACTAAGTTCCTTAGGCCCTCACTAAGTTGCTGAGGTAGGCCTTGAACTTGTGATTCTCCTGTCTCAGGCTCCTAAGCCACTGGGATTACAGGTATGTACTACTGCACCTGGCAAAAAAAAAAAAAATTAATTATGAAAAAGTGACAGGCCACAGGTGGCACATGACTGTAATGCCAGCAGCTCAGGAGGCTGAGACAGGAGGATTGTGAGTTCAAATCCAGCCTCAGCTACTTAGTGAGGCACTTAGCAACTCAGCAAGACCCTGTCTCTAAATAAAATATAAAAAAGGGCTGGGATGTGGCTCAGTGGTAGAGCACCCCTGGGTCCCATCCTCAGTACCAAAAAAAAAAAAAAAAAGTGGCAGGTTTCTATAATGACATGAAAACATAAGAAAAATTCCATTAAACCTTCAACTTAACATTTATCTTTTTATATATTACCTTTAAATTTTTGTTGATTTTTTTCACAGTGATATATATACACTTTATGACCTTTTATTTTAGATTATACATAAGTAACATTTAGAAAGCGCTTATTATGTGCCAAGAATAGTGATTAGAAATTCATTTAAGTTATATTTCATTGAAACTAGGTTGTTATTGATTTTTAAGATTTAACAATAACATATATATCACTAAGAAAGAACTTTAAAAAAAAAACACTAAGTGCAACATCACACAAACAACACATTGAACCACATGTTTCTGAAAGTCAAATGACTTCTATCTAAAGTTAATGGGTGGGCTGGTGATGTAACTCAGTGGCCCTCAGCCCAGTATGAACAGTGCCCTGGATTCAACCCCCAGCACCAATAAAGTCAATAAGAAATTTTGTATACATTGGTGTCTGACACCTTAATGATGGTTCTACATAAAACATGAATTGGTCATACCAGTATCTCATTACTTTGATGTTTCACTATTCCAAGGAATTTTACAGTTTCTCTTGGCATTGGCTGGTGTATGATAGGTTCATATCTCAGCCACAAAATGTAACACAGCTTCCTCTTTGAGGCTGCTTTGCATGCATATGTGGAAGTGTAGTCTTTTTTTTTTCCAAGAACAAATGTTTGCTTTGTCACATATAAAATTTAAGCACCCCCTACCCTACTTCTGTGTCTTTGTCCTTTCATAACTTATGTATCCATTCGGAATCATAATGGAATTTTAAGGCATTTTAAAAGGGCAATTCTATTAAAATTGTGTAGTGCCAAAATGTACACAATTTAGTCAATGTGAAAACCACACAAACAGCAATGGTCAAGTTCATGCATATGTGGCAGCAGTTCTGCATTTGTATGGCACCAACAGTCACTTGTACAGCCCAATTTCAGAAATGGTAAAAGGTGAAAAAATAACTCTCCATAGAATATTAAGAATTATGATGTTATTCATTTGATTTGCAACTAATCTTTTTTTTGAAAATTTTTTATTTGTTTTAATTAGTTATACATGACAGTAGAATACTTTTAAACACTTTGATGTATCATGCATAGATGGGATATAATTTCTCATTTTTTTGTGTGTACGTGTTGCAGGATCATATTGGTCATGTAGTCATGTACATACATCCAGTAATAATGTCTGTTTCATTCTACTATCTTTCCTTTTCCTGATTCACAAATAATCTTTAAGTCCATTTTATTATTCTTCAGATGATAAACCTGAGAAACAAGAGATTATCAAGATACACAATCACTAGAAGCAGATTTTTTAAATGTAGTCAACCTGGTTTTAGTGACCAAATATTACCCTTTAAACTCTGTTGTTGCCTGCTTACTCTAAGACTTTCCTTTATTACTGGAGAATATTCATATGGCATCTTAATTCCATCAAAAGAACAAGTATCTATTTAAACATTATCAAATATTAGATTAGATGGCTTCCAATTTTTCCATCATAAATTACACAGCAATTAGCATCATCAGTACAAATGATTTTCCACAATCAAAAAGGAATATATACTTTTAACACAAAAATAATACTCGCTGGGCACAGTGGCACATGTCTGTAATCCCAGTGACTCAGGAGGCTGAGGCAGGAGAATGGCAAGTTCAAGGCTAGCCTCAGCAACTTCATGAGGCCCTAAGTAATTTAGTGAGAACCTGTCTCAAAATAAATAATAATAATAATAAAAGGCTGATATTGTGGATAAGTGGTTAGGGACCCTGGGTTAAATTCTCAGTACCAATAATAATAATACTCATTCTAGAACATTTGGAAGATATAAAAATTATAAGCATGAACATAACAAGGCTGCTATGATCTCATCACTTACTAGCATTAGCAACATGTTGATGAATTTCTCTTTTTTCATACATCTTTTCACATAGTTTAGATTATAATGGAAATACCTTTCAAGATTTTGTTTATTCACTTAACATATTGACTTGTTAGAACAAATTACCATGAACTTTGTAGCTTAAAACAACAGAAATTTATTTTATCAATGTTCTGGAGGCTACAAGTTTGAACTCAAGGTGTGGGAGGGCCACTTTGCTGTCTCTGCAGATAGGTGCATAAGAGATCTCTTCTTTGGCTCTTCCAGTTTCTAATGATTTGTCAATGGCTTTAGCTTGTAGCCACATCACTGTCATCTCTGCCTCCCTCTTCACATTTGCTTTGCTGTGCACCTGTATATTCTCTCTCTCTCTCTCTCTCTCTCTCTCTCTCTCTCTCTCTCTCTCTCTCTCTCTCTCTCTCTCCCTTCATATGTGAGTGTGTATATGGTGCTAAGGACTGAACCCAGGGTCTGCTACATGACAGGCAAGACTTCTACCATTAAACCACATCTTCAGTCCCTCTTCTGTCTCTTGGCATTGGATTTAGGGCCCAAGCTGGTAGGCCAAGAAGATCCCATCTCAAGATTTTTAATTTAATTGTACCTGAAAAGACCTTTTGTCTAAATAAGGTCACCTTCACAGATTTGGGAATAAGGACATAGACATACCTTTTCTGGAGCCACCATTCAACTTACTACAAGTATCATAAACATTTTCTCATATTATTAAAAACTATTCCAGAAATTTTTAATAGCTGCATAATATTCTAGCATGTTTCCCAACATTCTAGCATATTTACCCAATTACTGTTATTTTAGATAATGAAAACTTTTCTGCTAGCAACAATATCTTAATTCACAATACTCGATTTAGTAGGTCAGATTCCCATAACAGAATATACTGATTCAGTACAGTTGAATAATTTGGAGCTCTTCCTTCCTTCCTTCCTTCCTTCCTTCCTTTCTTTCTTTCTTTCTTTCTTTCTTTCTTTCTTTCCTTCCTTTCTTCCTTCCTTCCTTCCTTCCTTCCTTCCTTCCTTCCTTCCTTCCTTCCTTTTTTTTGGTACCAGGGATGCTTAAACACTGAGCCCCTTTTTCAGTTTTTCTTTGGAGACAGGATCTCACTAAGTTGCTTAGGGTCTCACTAAGTTGCTGAGGCTGACTTTGAACTTGGGTGCCTCCTACCTCAGCCTCCCAAGTCGCTGAGATTACAGGCAAGTGCCATGACATATGGCAATTCTGCAGCTCTTAATAAATACTACCAAATTTCTCATTTTGTTTTAAGGAATTTAAAACATTTACACAGTAAAATATTCTTTTATTTTTTAATTTAGTGGGGAAACCAAGTGACTATGATGAAATGGTGGAAGGGAGGATTGCTTTAGGAATGAAAAAGGTAGGGGAATAAAGAGAGAATACTTGGACCTGGGGTTGTGGCTCAGCAGTAGAACGCTCACCTCGCCGGTGCGAGACCCTGGGACCCTGGGTTGGATCGTCAGCACCACATAAAAACAAATAAGTGAAATAAAGGTATTGTGTCCACTACAACTAAAAAATAATTAATTAGAGAGAGAGAGAGAGAGAGAGAATACTTTAGGAGGAAAGCCTACTGATCCTGAACTTATTCAAATGGAAAATGAAGTTTTTGTCATTATTTAATGAGGAGTAAACAAAATACTCAAAGAAAAACGGGCAGCTCTGCCCATTTTCTGGAAGAATGTGATTATCAGATCATAGATATTATTACATGTGCTGGCCAGGCCATCAAGCCTCAAGACAAGATGGTCAGAGACAGAAAAAAGGGGGTTTCGTGACTAACTGCTACACTAACAAAAAGGACAAAAGGCATATAACCAACAAATAATGGTTAGGTCTTTGATGTGATGACTGATCCAAACGTTTTGTTGTTATAATATCCTAAAATTATAAACATAAGTAGAGTCAATAATAGCCAATTATGAATATCAATTTGCCTGATTCCTTTGGTACCTCAACACATTCTCTTCAAATGCTAGACACACTCCAATTAAGGGAAACTAATCCACATTATTCA